ATCAGCTTACTAATAGCATTTTAACCTAAACAAAGAAAAGTGTAAAATTTTGCAGGTAAGTGTCACTTTAACAAAACTTTTAGTAATACCTGAACCCAACGTTAATTGATCAGTCTACCACTTTGCTACAAACCAAAATATCTCAACAACACAGAAATTGATCTGTTAGCTGACCTCACCTCACAGGGAGACTGGATGCTTGTCTCCACATCACCAGAGCGCACAAATTAATTTTATAATGTTGGATTCAGCTTTCCAATGTGAGAATGTATCTCATTTACTTGCAAAGCTAATACTCTGTTTGTTTGACAAAACAATCTGAGACCGCGTGTTTGGCATCCTTTACTATATGTCACCATTTTATCGACTAACTGAGAAATTAAAATAAAAAATTGGTAAAAAAAAAAAAAAAAAGATATGAAAATGATAAATTCATTGACAAAAATAGTTGCAGATATGCTAGTCTCGCGTGACCAGCCTCCCTTACTTTGGAATGGGGGTCTGGAGACATTCGTCTTTCATTTTGCAATAGAAATGGGCGGGGATATCCAGACCATGTGACGGCCATAGGTGCGGCACATGTGTTACATGTAACAGGGACGTTGCAGCAGCTGAATCAAATGAAATCATATCCATTTTAATCTCTTCTTGCAATGCACCGAACACTTCCTTTTCTGTTGTACTACGGACAACAATTCTGGGAACAGCAATTCCAGTGTAAGGGGGTGTAAGGCAAAGCTAGTCAGCCGTTGGTCGAGGAAGAGAGTAGCAATCACATCACTGCCGTGCAGAGCCAGCGCTAGTTCTATTACAACTTTCCTATGGGAATGTCCACAGACGACAGAGTCAGCCAGCGTGCTGACATTATCGGCGTCTGTGTAAGAGACTACAGACATGCCTGCTGGAGAATGAATTGTCAAATTTAGACATGAACACAGAAATTGGTTAAAATAAACAGAGAGATGTAATGGGAATTAAGTGCATTCAACCAAATTATGTAAAGGCCTGTCTCAAAAACAAAAACAAAAAAAACAACACATTTTAGACAGACGTCTGAAGCCAAAGCTCCTTAGGCAGAGCAACACTGGCAGAGATGGCCAGAATCATAAAGTTGCACATTTGCAAAAGACAAAGGTGAATATAAAATGTCCATACTGAAAAAAGCATTCAGATCATAACCATTTAACAATTTAATAAATTTACCTAAATGTATAGTCGCACAGTGCTCTACTGTATAGACAGTTTACATGCCAACTTGCTGAAGTGTTCTCATCCAGGTTAAGCACCAGTAATTCCTTCGGGCCAAGTGTGAACCTGAAACGCATCGTTATCAGCCTGCACGGTTTTCTAGAAAAACTCCTCATCTCCTTTAAAACATTTGCATACCAAGAAACGTTACCCGAGGAGTCAGACCTCCCAGCTGGGTTTCTGTCTGTTATTAAAGCCTTTTCGACTTATCACAGGGAGAAGGCACAGAGTTTTTATTTTTGATCCTTTTCGGTTTCTTCCTGCTGCTGCTTGCAATGAGCAGATTTGCTCCTGGCACACTGCTGGCGAGCTGAGAAGTGAGTGCAAAGTCCATTTTCCTACGATTCCTATGTATTAATGCACTCTGCTCTACTCAAGTTCACCAAAATTTGTTTCACTTTCAATCAGCCAAAGCTTCAGCAAAGCTGGATTCATGGATACAGCATTAATCAACCCAGCAGCAGCGGCAGCAGTGTTCATTTTGGGTGTAGCCGAGGTAATATGTAAATCAGACCTCTCATCTGTTGTGCGGTCCGTCAGTTCAAAGCTGCAATTTCAAGGGCTTGGACCTTGGCGCTCAAGCACGGCTTTTAATGAAAAATGAAATGAAGAGACAGAAATACCCCATAAGGAAAAAGTGACAGCTCAAACTCTCCTTAAAGAGCCCGGAGCCATGTGGGTTGGATAAAGAGCAAAGTGTTTTGACCTTAATATGAGCCATCCATGAGCCACTCTCCTTTACTGCAGGTGCAGCTCAAAGGTTATCACAAAACCCTTTTCTACGCACATCACCCGAACTCACCTTCAGAAAACTTTTAGTTAAAACCTGAACCCACCGTCAGTCAATCGGTCCACCACTTTGATCCAGACTAAAATGTCTCAACAACTATTAGATAGATTGCCATTAAATCTGGTTCACACATTCTTGTCCCTCTCAGGATGGCCTGAAATAACTGAAATGATTCTGGGATTTTTTCATGTCGGGCCATCAGAACAAAAATTTGATCTGTCAAATATTCTTTGATCTATGATCAAAACTAATGTCAGTCCCATGAGCCTCAGCTCTACATTGTGTTTAGTTTTAATTGGCAAGATAACAGCTGAAATACATGGGGCATGGACATGACATGTTACGTATGGTGGGGTGAAGCAGAGCAGGGGTTTTACCTGCTACACAAGCCTCTTTCCTTCTGGACAAAAACCCACTAACATCTGGCTTTTGTATTCAATGGGAAGGGTTACAATCGACATTCATTCCTGGGACAAATTACTCCTCAGGAGTATCAGGTATTTATCAGCTACAGGTCCGATTGGCTTTAATGGAAAGAGGACACCTTCATTGATTTTGCATGAGAACAATCACAACAGTGCTCAATAATGTGGAACATACATATATTGTAGTAGTAAGGGGGATTCAGTCTCAAAGTGCCAGGAAGTAGACTCAACCATCACAATTTTCTGTAGCTTAAGATTTAGTCTTAAAGTAGCTTGTTTTGTCTGAAACCTAAAGAATGATGTAAGTGGTTATGGATAATTAATGAATACTGAATTAAAATATTTAAGGGTTTCTGTTAACTAGCATACAAGACTGGACGGGAGCTTGAAACAGTAAGGTAGTGATTACACAGTTTCCACTTTAAACCTTGAAACCACCAGAATACCCCATAAATGACAATAATTAACGCGTTCTCACCCAAAGTCGCCACATGTTGCCGTTTTGTCAGTGGCCTTTCACGTCCATGTACTACGTGCTAGGTATCTTTCTGCATCTGCTGTTGACATTGCACGATGCCGCTACCAAGGCTGAGATGTTAACAAAAGCACATGGTAAGGTTTAGGCATCAAACTAGGTGGTTAGGTTCAGAAAAAACATCATGGTTTATCTCTACATTTGTACGGGAAGCCAACACGAAAATCCTGGTCCAAAGTCCAGGGTTTGTTGGAGCCATCCATCGCCCCTCCAACCTGCCCTATGTGGACTTTCCTACACCTTATATTATGTTGTTAGTACCGTTTCAACCTGAAGCCGTCCAGCTACGTATCATACCGCAGCGACAAGTGATGTCCAGCCGACCAGCGGTGTATCATAAAACCACGAAAGGTTCGGTCCATCTGCGTTACTACCTGTGGTGACTATCGTAAACCAAAAATTTTATTAGTCACCTGCGGTGGCTCAGGAATGTTCTTAACATGTACTCCAGTCCATTAAATTAAACTGTCCAGAAGAAGTTTCTCTTTTGGGTGACGTTCCCATTTATTGCAAAAAATATAAATCCAAAAGAAAAGGGTTACATTACCAAATTATGTTGCTGGGTTGAAAACAAAATGCTGGCATACAGTAAGAACCGTGTGCTTCCACCACCGCTCTGCTCTGACTGCTGATAATCAACAAACCCTTTAAGACCTGTGAATGTGCAGCTGCCAATTACCCGTGTGATTAACTAAAAATAGCATCAGAGTGAGACCTCCCTCCTCTAGTGGTAAAAAACAAACTAAACATACACATAAACAATTAAACTATGAAATGGCTCCTACACTAACTAATGGTGTATGGTATTATATCACCGCAAAAGGTGGCTTTTAGTGTTGGGTGTCCGACACTGAAATCACTAACAAAGCGACGGTATTTCACAAGAACAGGCTGCAATAATTGTCAGAACTGGGACTATGTCTGTGTATTTTTACATCAGAATAACAACTACCATCATTCTTTTAAATCAAAGCTTTTATTTAATTAGTCCTTGTTATAAGGTAAGGTAAGATAAGGTAGGTGGTCTCTGTGGATGGAGTTACATTTAGTAAAACAGTCTCCCTGTGAGACAGCAGTCGGGACATGTAGCCAAAAGCACAAAAGCTGACTGACAGCGAGGTAACTTTTAATCAAAGTGCACTGAATGCACCCAACTGCTACCTGTGACCATTCATCACCAGCTTGCAGCACATTTACATGATCCCTCAAAACTCCACAGCTCCTGTTCACGTGTCTTTGTTCAGCTTCATGCTGAAGTTTAAACCCTGTGTGGTGTCATAAACAGGAGGCGCCGTAAACACAATGACAGCTGCAGCAGCTATGAGACAACTCTGCTCAAATATTTACACTCACTGCCTTTGAGGCATTATAAATTATAGCATCATGATGTCTAGTGAGGGAAAAGTTTCATCAATTAAAAATGAGAAACTTAAGACACTACAGTATATATGCATTTGGAATTAAACAAATAAATGTAACATTCAGACTCAATATATGCTTCTCACTTCCTGCAGGCTATATTTTATATTGATGTACTTTAAAACAATTTATATAGGAGTTAACTGTCAGCAGCATTAAAGAAAGACTCATTTTAAAAATAATTTTCAATAATTGGAGCCTATTAAAGTCTGGCACCTAGGGGATTTAACTGTGACTCAAATTTGATAAATCTTTTGTCACTCTCTCTCTGTGCTGGCAGTTCGTGTTTCTGCATAGGTTGTGTTTATGGTCATGCCGTTAATTGCGCAGCAGCAGTGCGCTTTGTGGCTCAGATCATCTGTGACCTGCCCCCTCACAATCAGCATCACATCAGACTTTTGTTTGTTTTAATAGTGGACCCTTGACATTTCAGAGACAGCAGCCGGGGAGAGATCAGGGGGTGTATCACTCAACCATTAGCCTGTTCATCTAGCTCTCATCCCACCCCCTTCGCTCCCGACGTCACCGCATCAAATGCGAACGGATCCGTCTGTAAACCCGCCACTTGCGCTCTGATCGGCTGCCTGAGCAAATCTAAGCTGGACACATGTGGCGCTTCGCAGCAACGCACATGAAACTGTACTGATATTGAACCCAGCGGGAAGCGGAGCTTTGACTCTTTCTTTTTCCCATGCTCTGTCCTTGCGTCTTTTCTTTGATCCACGTATGTCTTTATTCAGAGGAAAGTGGACATTTTTTACTTTTCTTTTCCTCGGAGCACACAGCCCGTTGCCAGCTTGATTTGAAATAAACCAAGGTAAGACAAGTTAGTTTGTTGGCGTTACTTACTGCCACAAATGTGTGCATTAATTGGTGAAATTCATTTTTAAAAGTAATTATTTTTTGATGTTTGAATTTGACTCAATGCAGCCAAAGCTCGTTGAGTGCGTATAAAGTCAACAACTCAAGCGTATCGGTGCGTGCACGTCCTTATTCTCCGTCCGGCTCTCCATCCTGCCAGCTTTCTCCACTTTGATGCACTGAGCTCCATTAGGACACAGAAACCTCTTTGTCAAGAGTGGTCAGTCATGCGTGTTTTTGCGCACAGTCAGCTCCCTCAAGTTTGCATCCTGTGCCATCCATCGCCTAATTTGATGCGCAAAGTTACCAGAGGAGGACAATCAGGAGCCAGACAGCCCTGGTGAACCCTAATTTCCCATCAGTGCATGTCAAGTGCAGAGACTGCTACGCGCGCAATGTTGGCACAAAATGTACATCCATATATTCTCTGTGCCTGCACCCACCGGCGGAGGTCCCGTTTGCTGCTGTGGAATTCTGCGCACAGTGCTAATGAGGGGAAACAGAGATGAAGCTACAGTACATGTTGGTCACTGAGGGCTGGAGGCTAAACCTGACAGTGGGGAGTCTGAGGGCATGAATACAGTAACAGGAATACAGTTAAGATAAAAAGTAAGACCCTCAGAAATACTGAAACACATATTCGGTTCGTTTTTAAAACATGTCAAGACGTTGCATTACAATAAGCCTCTAAACATCCACTGTTCTTTGACCCTGAACATTTCCATTTTGTGACCTGCAGTCTGCTGAGCTGGAAGTAAAAATAATGACCTGCATGCTCAGTGTAACACGCAGCTATATATTCTGTTGATGTGGCTATTTTCTTACATGCAGCTAAGGATATTGTGTGAAACATTAAACTCGATCACACTGCAACATGACAAAGTAGAAAGTGCAATCAAAGCAAGACGGAGGTTGTGGCAGGCTTGTGAACATGCACCTTCTGGGGCTGTCTTCCCCCTGAGACTCAAATACATTTGAAGTTTATTTGAAGCTGCCTATATGGTAATGCTGAAGGAAGGCACGTGAAGGATCATGAATGTTAGACAGATTTATTCCAGTGGGAAATTGTACTGTCACAGCAGCAAAAAGACACTGACAATGAGCAAAAACTATACTCAAAGCTTAAAACAAGAAGGAGTTTATTTTCTGTAGATATATACATGTGTAGTGGCAATACACAATAGTGTCATAGTGTATGAGTCCAAGGTGAGTGTATTAGAGTTAAATTGAGGAAAAGCAAGGCGACTATATGCACCAAAAAACCCCAAAAGACACAGGAACTTCTGTGAGCTGCTGCAACAGGCTGCCATTCAACTGCAGCATCATATAGTGAAGCTTTCTAGGTGTCTTTGGGGGGACAGTTTAAATTATTCACAGGGTAAATGCACTGTGATAGCCAAAGCTCAGCTCAAAAATCATGTTGTGTCATCTTTGGGACATCTGGACAGTGTTAGCTTTGACTCCTGCTGTCGCTACTATAAGCTGCTAATATTAGTAAGACTGAACTATTGTGGCAACATCATGACAATGAAGTGGACAGAGGCTGGTCTAAATCTGATAAACAAAACAACAGACGAGAAGATTTAGATTTGGATTCTCTCTTGGCTATAAATGAAGAAGCTATGGTTGCTATAACTTATGAGGTTGTGATTGATATAGCAGGTAAATATTATAAAAGAAAACAGCAAATTACAATATCATAAAATGCTGTATCTGTCATATATTTACATGACATGGTTTCTGTTGACCATTTGATTGTTCACATTTTAGGATAGCTTGGTCACCTACAGCACAATATTGTTGCATACTGCAGTAATGTGACATATTGTACGTCTTTAATTCATTAAATCAAACTGACTGAATAAAATCTTAATCCAGATTGTATCTGGACTAATGTACACTCTAAAAAATGATTAATCAGGTCTGTGGATAATGCTTAAAATAAAAAAGTGACGACTTGTTTTAAGAAGTTTTTTACATTTTTGAGAAGGCTAAAACTAAAATAAGTTAGAATATCTTAAATAAAATCGTTTGACCACTAAATATCAACACAACATTTGGATAAATATTAAGTTGGTTCAACTTAATCAGGTTTTTCGAGATCAAAGCAAATCATGTTGGTTGTACTAAAGTAATTGAGTTTGTCAGAATAAAAAAGACTCCTGGGATTTACTCAATAATGGCAGAGTTGGAACTACTTAAAAAAATGCATGCAAATTGTTACCTTCATTTTTTTTTAACTGAACGAGTGGATTATTTTTTATAAGGATAGACCGATACATCGGCCGGCCGATATATCGGGCCGATATTTGAGTTTTTTACTTGTATCGGCATCGGCCGATACACGTGTGGGTTCGCGCATTTATTTTTCCCTGGCACTTTTTTTCATTTGAAAGTATGTGGTTAAGTTGAACAAAGCTGTTGAATCCTACTGTGTACAGTAGTTGTTGTTTTATTTATGCTTCAGATTAAATATTTGTTTATTTTATAAAGACATTACTGGAAGATTTAAGAGCACTGAACTCTTTTTTTTATTTGAATGTATAATAATAATAATAATATTCTACCTGTTCTACCTCAACTTTCCATCTTGTTTTAGTATTTTTTACTGTTCAATAAATGTTTCTTATTTTAAACTTGAGACCTGTAATATTTGTTATCATTGTGTCATTTTTTTTTTATGTAAATTGAAGGAGCAAAAGCAGCATCTGCCCCAAATATCGGCTCAAGAAAATCGGCAGTCCATAATCAGTCATCGGTTAAGGGTGATGGAAAAAAATCGGTATCGGCATCGGCCCTAAAAAATCCATATCGGTCTATCCCTAATTTTTTAGAGTCTAGTCAACCTACTGAGCACATTTTTTCGCAATGTTTATCACACTAGGATTGTATAATTTCTCCACCATACTGATATTACATGCTTTTTACACTGTTTATGAATGATGCTTCGATAAAAAAGCATCATCACTTAATCTGAACCTTTGTGCTGAAATTCTAAATCTTTCAGCTTGAGCATGAACACGACCACAAGTCTAAGCTATTAAATGTCTCCTGCTGATGTTATTACTCTCAGGGTGGAAAAAGCCTGTGAAACCAGACCTTTACTGAGCACTAATGATTTCAGACTGACATTCTGAGAGAGCAAGACCTACCATACCACACTACACTACAATCATTTATCACTGGTCAAACTATCACAATTCACATTCACTAGCTGTGGGTGAAAGCAGTAGGTCCATCAGTAGACGACAGGCGGCAATTCACAAGGCTTATGAATTAAACATGGATAAGGAGAAAAAATGACTTCATTTCTTTTCTTTAGCAATCAATGTACAGATTCTGACATCAACATTAGCCAAGACTGTGCTCTATGGTAGAGTGTGATTTGAATAAACTCATTATGGCTGTACATTGACACAGAAACTGGGTTTAATTAATCTAAAAGTAACAGAATATGAGTTACTGGTGGATTTATTATATTGCCTCATAGACACGTGCTTGGCCAATGCCCTGAACACCACAAATCAACTAGTCTGAGTTGGCAGAAGTTCACTGCATAGATCAGCCTCTCATTGGGCGGAACGAGACACCCGCTGAAGTCCCGCCCTACCACCTCCGGTTGTGTAGCAGTTTTCAACCGTTTTCAACACATCCTTTACTAACTTTTGCGGGGTTTGATCTTGCGGGCATGTAGCCATTTTTCTGCCATGGTTCGTGTCCTGTAGGTGATATTTTTGTGGGCGTGTTACACCAAAACTTGTTTCCCCCGGGCAATATTTTTGCAAGCACACCGTTGCTGTGGCACCGCCCAGAACGATTGTGATTGGTTGAAAGAAATACAAGCAGCCGGGGCGTTTTTTTCCTCCAATCTTAAAGTGAGAGTCGGCTCAGCCAGACCTTTCTTTTCTTGAGAAAGGTCTGGTGAGCAAGACTACAAATCACCAATGTGACATATCTGAACCAGGTGGTTGCTTATGTCACACAAGTAAAGCTCAAGCATCTGGAGGCATTCTCCCTCTAGTAGATCTAAACCCTCAGGATCATGGAAATTCTTTTCAGTTTTACCAAGTTTAAAGAAGTCACTCAATCAATTTGTGATGTTAAACCACCTGAAACCATACATCACCCCATGTTCAACACCACATCTGACATATAGGTTATAAGGCAAAAGGGAAGCAGGTGAAATGTGGTTTAATGTCACATCGTTTCACCCATCACATCAGAAAAAAATCTAATCCAGAGGATTACTGTGGAGGTACATCCATACGCACAGTTCACACCAGTCACATTTAAAGGGGCTATTGGGATTCCATTTACTGTCTGATATAACAGACAAAAAGCTCATGTCTCATTCTGGCTAAATTTGCTCGTCTCTGCAGGAAACCAGCAGAGCATAAAATTGTTTTTAGATTATTGAGTATTCTACCTTGAGTCTTTTATGCAGAAGAAAGTCAAAAAAGCATTTTGCAAGTCTGTTGCAACACTGTTCACTAAGAACAAAAATTACCAGGGTCCTTGTTTGTGGAGATTTAAGGCTATGGGATGTAGATTTTATCTTGCCACCTGTTGGCAGCATACGTTGAGTTTCCAAGCGGAAGCAATGGGAAAGTAAATAATACAGGAAAACACCATAAATCTCAGCCAAGTAATTAAGTAAAATTAAGGCAGTTAGATGCACCTAAACAAGAAACTGCGGCATTTAAGCAAAGTTTTTAAGGCGTCCTAGGGCAACACTTTAACTTAGTCATGGGATAAACGAATAAATGAACAGTGGGGGTGCTTGTTTGTGTGGTTTCAGTCTAAGTCTCTTTTAGGTGGTCTATTACATCTTATATTACATTTACTCTGTAGATTTTATCTTGGTGCCCACATGCGTCGAGTCTCCGAGCAAAAGCAAGAGGAAAGTGATTAATATAGAACGTGTCCACAGGACGCAGCAAGCTTGCTTGGCGTTCCAGAGAAAAATAGCTGTGACCAGAGTTTCAGGAACTGTAGCCTATAATTGTCGCTACAATTCAACCTACCTTCACCCCAGTCCTTCAAAAACAGCTTTAATTATTACACACAGTCTCAGATACGCAACACCCCACACAGACCACCAGGACACATCTGTGTCTCTATAAATAAGTCATTAAAACTGCAGAGTTGGGTGCACTTTGAATGGCTTTCAAAATTTATAATTCTTCAGTTCCTTCAATTAACCCCCCACGCCTCCCATTTGCTCATCATGTTTTATTCACATTTGTTCAACACATCCACACAAAGCAGAAAGAAGAAAGTCTGTAGAGCGATTAAGCAACTGTGAGGTTTATCGCTGTCACTAATGGCTCGTACTTGGAGGCATTTCTGTCGGCATCAATCAAAAAGTAGGGGTTGCTAAATGGTCAGAGGAGGTGACAGAAGTAATAAAGGCAATATTCTACCCAGTAGGTCAGTGTGACTGGTAATAAATATGTTTTTCCCATGTAAATTCTGCTATAATCCTCAAGCATTACTACATATCCAATCAAGATTACACACAGTTATAATCAGCCATAATGAGCATGATTCATAATCACAACAGCTACACTTATCTTTTGCAAATCTCTGTAATTGCACAGGTAGACAGTGTCACAGCTGTTTATCTGCTGTTGACTTGTAGGGAAAAAATCCACTTCCAAATGCTTGTGCACCCCGGAAACAGCCGTAAGTGGAAAGAGAAGATGTTTGCATTTCTGTGCCCATTTTGTTGTCCATTTGTAAACAGCAATTATTTTATTATTTATCGCAATATGTCAGCTTCCATTGGAGCTACCATGGAGTCACACAACAGGAAATGTTTACACGGACTGCAGACAAAGCTGTAAGAAAGAAATGGCCATGCAAACAGCATGTTAAGATTCCCTGACAAGACTTAATGTCGACTTTACTGAAAGGGTTTGTGTTTACATGCTTTGATGTTCAGAAAAACACTTTATTTCCCTCTTACTGTCTGTTGCTGTATTCACCTTCTGTCTGAGATGCTCCGCATTGGTACCTCTCTATTTAAGCCCCCCTCCTTAAAAAAACCCAGTCTGCTCTGATTGGTCAGCGGTTCCGGGTCAATCACATCCTGGCGTCTGTACCGTCTTTGCAGCTGAGAAATGACTGAAACAGAAAAAGCGGCACCTTCTGAACACAACCGGATGTTACAGCAGGAAAATGATCCGAGATCTGGGAGAAATTAAAATTAACAACACTGGCAACCAAGATAACGTGTTTCCCTGAGGTTAGCATGTGCTACACGTAGCAGTGTATGTAATGTTAACACATGCAGTAGCATTTCTGAAGCAGGTCATCATATAACCAAAGTAGAAAAGAACATTGGAAACAGTATTCAGAGGCCTGAGGTTTTTGCTTACAAGACTTAATTGAACATACCTTTACCTCATTATTTGAAACTTTTTTAATGGATGTTTTGCTGGATTTTTGAACACGTAGAACAATTAGAATGCTTGACAGTGCACACTGAACCTTGCAGTGATGAACAGAAATCCACTTACTAGAAACTATAAAAGAATAGGGAAGGGCTTAAGCCACTTAATGGGTTCTGGGTAGAAGCATGGAAGCATGGAAACAGGAATATAATTAGTTAAAAAAAATAGTCCACTATAACCAGAAGGGTCAGTAGTTCAACTCAAGGCTGTGTTCCTTTTTTGATGAATCAATTAATTGACTCGTCAAGAAATTGCGTCATATTTTAGATGCCAAACATTTCCTTGTTCTTGTGTTTTCGTCGATGGTAATGATTTCTTGCTTTTTTTATCTGAATATCTCTGGACAAAACAAGAAATTTAAAGTCCTCACTTCTGGCTTTGAGATACTATGACAGACAATTTTTACCATGGTATACATTTTGCTTCATCACCTCATACTGTATCAACACTAAACATCAGGTTTTAAAAGCTAACCATCAGAATCAAAGAGCAAGGACTTCTGTCCCAACTCACCATTTTGCATTCAACAATCAAACAGAAAGATATCATTTAGAAAGGAGGCTGACACACTGAGACACTGGTTTCTCTATAGACAGAAGACAGATATGAATTCACTGCAGTCCTGTTCCTTTGACTTCTGCATTGTTCCCTCTCTGCTTCCGTTGCTCACTCAAGGGAAAAAACAACCCCTCTCTGCTATTGTCACTGCTCTCTCTTCACTTGCAAGTATGCAGCAAGCAACTACAGCTTCCTCTGTGAGAGGCTGTTTAAAGTCATATTCTGGAATTTAGAATCTCACAAACTAGAGTTTAAGTAGATATATTTATATCTGAACATAGTCAGTATTTATAGTAGTCAAGTGTCTTTGTTCATCTGGTTCAGATTTGATGTCCTTGTTTTTAGCTGTATGTGTATTTTGTTCTGTTCTATTCTGTACATCGGGAGCAACCACAGACCGTGTAACATAAGGGATATAGCCACCGTGACATCACCCGTATGTTTGAAGACTCCAGTTTTGAAGCCTTGAGTTTGGCATTTTGGCCATCGCCATCTTGGATTTTTAAAAGTTGAGAACTTTGACATTGGGGATTGACTTACAAGCCTCAAGTGGCCATTTGAGGAACTGCAGTTTTTGGCACTTCTGCATTGGCTTTGTTTTTTCAGCCATGGAAGTTGTGCCTGTGGATATTCTTATTTATCCAGATCATAGTTATGTCAAGGCAATTGAATCAAACACAACTGGACTTACTTTTGTCTTAGAAGACGTTTCACCTCTTATCCAAGAGGCTTCATCAGTTCATGCTTGTCAGACTAGGCTGGAACTAGTCTGACAAACTGGTGTGGAACCAAGAGTCAAATTCCTTGTATGTTCACGCCTACTCGGCCAAATAAGCTGATTATTATTCTGATGAGGGAGGCTACGGGAAAGTTGGCACGCCAATAGCACTTCATCATGAAATACAGCAACGTCTGAAATGCACTGAACATCACAGATTGATGTTTGAGCAGAGACAACGATGTTTCATCTCAATTACTGTTCTGTCTTAACTTTATTATGACAGTACAAAGGTATAACCCTTTTACATATCATTTCCCTGTAATGTCACTTTTTATAGACTGTTAATTTTCTGGCCTCAGGTCATGTTACCTCCCCCTCTCACATAAAGCAGTCATCATGGTCTGAAATGTCGTGCTGTATGTGCTGTTTTTCCATATTGTAAATGATCTTTGATAGGTGTTCCATCTGTCGTAACTGTTGGCATTAACCTGTTAATGTTCTGAGACATTTGGTGCTTTCACAGTGAAGGAATGAGTTAAGAGCTGAGGCTGTTTCTCATTTCCATAAAAGCGCTGGTGACACAATGAATTATGCACACTGGGACTACGTAATACATGTACTGGAACTAAAATTGGCTGTACTACTCAATATTTTAGTTATTTTAATGTTATTATTACAAATGGGCCAAATGACTACATTTAATGTGAAAGGGGGCCGCTCATGGTGAGTTATATCCTCACTCTGTAGCGCTGAGTAGTATTTTAGCGCCTTTTAGCTCATTGTTTTGATTTTACTGAGGACTTTACTGTTTTTCTGTTTATTCTTATATTCTTATCAGCGCTGGCTTTCATTGAAAACGCTTTGAAAATTTCTCTGTACATTATCTGCCCAGCATCAAATGGCAAGCCGACAAAGTTAACAACTACCTCGTAAAAATATAGAGGACAATTTAACAGGTAAAGAGACACTAGGAGTTGGTGTAGGCCAAACCAGCGCTGAAGGAAAGATATTGGACTTAAAATATGATCAGGTGGACACAAACATGACAGCAAAGGATTAGTGATGTTGCACTGCTGGATGGGTGAACATTTGCCAAATCAACCTTGTAGAAGTGACAATATGTCAGTGTTGTGCTCACAGCTGTTGCCCCAAGTGGCAAAAAACATTTAAATGTAGGTTAAAGCTTCAGCATGTGTTTTATCCATTTCCGTTTTTTACCAGTGTAATTAGTTACCTACCTACCTAGCTACACCTATAGACCATATACCAAACATTTTGTCAGTGGTGTCTAGTTTCCATTATTCGATGAATTTCTTGTTAAAACAAGTTTTTTTTTAGCATGAATACAGAAAGATACATTACTGTTCCATTTCAAAGTTTCTGTGATTTGTCTTTCTTCCTTCTTTCGATAACTAAGTAGAAAAAGTGGTTTCATTGTAAGAATTTCTAAAACTCTTCATCATGCTTTCAATAATTTCCTATTCTTCAAAATTGCACAATAAAGTAAGCTGATTCAGCATGAAGTCATCTGCTTGTCCTTCATTTTTCAGGTTTAAAATGAACGAAGGACTTGACAACAACTTGACTCAACTCTATGACAACTGGACATTTTACAACTCCTCCCTGGAGCCCATCATACCCAGGAACAACATCACCTATGTTGGATTTTACCTTCATCAGCCGTCCACAGCAGCCATCTTCATCGTGTCCTACCTGCTGATCTTCCTCGTGTGCATGGTGGGAAATGGCGTGGTGTGTTTCATTGTCCTGAGGAGCAAAAACATGAGGACAGTCACCAACTTGTTTATCTTAAACCTTGCTGTCAGTGACCTCCTGGTTGGGATTTTCTGTATGCCCACAACACTTCTTGACAACATAATAACAGGTGAGCAGCACAGTAATTTCAAGCTTTCATCATGTTGTTGTTGTGTTTAACTTCTGTCAAAATAAGACATGTTTTTTTAGTCAAGCTGGCTGTCTTGTCAGTCAGTCATTTGTTTTTGTTTTTTTTTCAACACTTTCCAGACTGAAATGTCTCAACGAGTATTGGATGGATTGCTGTGAAATAGGTACAGTCACTCATGGTCTCCAGAGGATGAATCCATATGACTTTTCTAGCGCACCAACAGGAAAATTTTTCCAAGATTTAATCTCATGACAGGATACCTAAAAAAACATAACCCAATAACCTTTTAGGTGAATTTACATGAAATGTGGCTAAGTTCACATGTCCTGTTTTTTTGCACCCTCAAATTCATTGTTTTCAATGAAGACGATGCAGCAAGCGCACTCAAACACCAACGCCCTGAGATAAACCAAATTCAACTTTTGTAACGCAGCAGCGTGTCATGTCGTGATGAGGAAAAAGCCAAAAGATATCTTTCCCTTCTTCCATAAATATCAGTCTGTGATAAATATGGAAAAGTTGATCATTTTTGATGCTGGACTACCCAGAGCTTTACATCTGTCCCATGGACAATATGCCCACACAAACAGTGCCTAGCCCTGCACTCAGGATTTCAGGTCAATATGCAATAATACAGTGCTTGTTAAGGTTACTTAGCAACCTCAGACGCAACCTGCCGTTGCGCTCTTAAAAGCTGGTTCAACAACGGGACAAAAGTAGCACCCAGCACCCAACGTTGCATTTTCCAGGTGGTTAAAGACGCCGCATGTGTATGGCCCCTAAAACTTTCACAATCTTGAGAGCCATCGGCTAACAGTCTGATGACTATAAGCCTCTCGGGGCAACAGACAATATTTCAGGAGATCTAGTGTCGTCAGCAGATATATGGGCCCAGCCTTAGTCAGACAATAGCTGATGGGTTCCAAGATTGCATTTCGGCTAATGCATTCTGCCCTTTCACACAAACTGGTGCTCAAACATGATCGGTCAATACCACTGGGACTACAAACAGAAACCAGAAGGCTTCTGATACCAAAATCTTGTCCTGTTGCCTACAGATTCTACATACATATGCAGATATATGTTTATAGAGATCAGGACATTTATGGTACCTGGAAGGATGAATCCCAATGACTTTAGTAACCCCCTGTGCCGCTAACAGGCAGACATTTGTGGTTTTGAGGAACTGTCTCGACAACTATTGGATGGGTTGCCATTACATTTGGTAAAGACATTTAAGAATTAATTGTAACAATTTTGTCAAAACCCTGACTTTGCGCCACCAACAGGTAAAAATTTCCATGTGTCCAACACTTCAGTTCATGATCAGATACATCATAAACCATCTATCTCATTGCTGTCAGCTACTAAATCTTATCCACAAATATCTGTGCTTGGCAGATATTGTGTGCCTAATGATGGCTTGGACCAAAGCTCTCCCACAGTTCTTTGGAAATGCAAACTGGGGATAATCAGCTCCAATATCTTACAATAGGAGCATCAGCGTACTCATGCATGCACTGTAACGTCTCTGTTTGGAATATCAAATACATCAATATGTTAACGTGTATAGTATGTACCATTGAGTTTGAACTTTGTCTAAGAGTAGTTGAAGCTGATGAGGTTCAACTGCGGGTCAGATGATGTCAAATGTGAAAAATTCCAGATTTGACTAATTCAAGTTGAGTCAAGTTTGACAAAGCAGAGCTGAGCTTGATGAGCTGAGATATCCCAACATAAACCTTTTTAAATTTCCTCTGGTGCCACCCTCAGGGCTTTCTTTCCAGCTTGGTGTAAACGTCTCTGTGGCAAAGACAGAGATATTACACAACAAATAGTTTTGCTGTTTGCTTTGTAATGATGCATCACAGCCTCACAGGGCTGTTAGCCCTGTAAATCCTTTGATTAACCCTCTTCCCTAATCCCTAACCACTGATGTTATTTAATTCTCTGTAGGGTTGCTTTGTTTTCAGTTTGGACTAGTATTAATATGGATTTCTAAGAGGCATTTGGAGGCCATCCCACGCAAAATGAACCTTGAGACAATCATGGAATGACTAAAAAGTGCAATCTTTTTCTTCACAGTCTGCAGTTATCAGAAGTAGAGAGGGCTCAGGGGAGTCAGACAGACTGCCCTGCATGCATGAATAAGATCAGGGCTTTTCCCGCGTTGTGTTGATTGGACTTGACAGTTGACTCTTGATGATTCAAATCTCACAGGAGCGATTCTTAAGGCTAATGATAGTGGCTGAAAGCTCACATTTGTCATGTAGGCTGCAGAAGCTGCAATGACTTCCTCTTTTCAGTTCTAAAACAAAAACAAAACAGAAACTAAAAAAGTTCACTCAGTAGAGTGCAGATCTCCACCAGGCAGCCCCCCGAGCTGATCACAGCCACTTTAGACTATTATTGTAATTCGAGTAGACGCATCGCAGCTTCCTGGAAACTAATAAAAGAACACGCCTTATCTATATTTGACGAAGCCACGGAGCGTTGCACAGAGCAAATCCATTTCTCCTGCTTACAGGCACTGTAGTAAACTATACATTGCCTACAGTGTAATTATGAGGACGACAGTATTTTAATAACTAGAACACAGCCAGAAACCTTTGGTCCATGTTGTTCATAACTGGATGTTTAACAGCATTAACTTTGTCCGTAGGATACAGCACAACAAAGTAAGACTCAACAACCATAAACACAATTAAAACAGACAAAAAAACAAACCATTTAACTACACAGCCTGCTTACTTACTGATAATAGAGGCACAAGTATCAAGGAAAAATGACCAAATCAACAAAATCTTGAAGTCTACAAATAGACTGTTAAAATGCTCCATGCGCCCAGTGTGGTATGACACTGTGAGGAGGATAAAACAAAACTGGGTTGCAGCCTGACCACAGAGAGCTGTGGCCACTGGTTTTGTTCCTCCTGGCTTCTTTACAGTCAAGACAGCGGCAAAGATAACAAAAACTGGGGGTTTATCAATCTCATATGGATCATTTTAATGGATCATATCAGGTAATTATTCTGCAGATGCTGCGGTTCAAACAGAACAAACTTTTCTATGGCTGTTTTTTGAGCCTGGGTGAAGATGAGGATGTGTCCTGCAACAGACGATAAGACTTGTTGTTTTTAGGTGAGCCGATTTCTGGAAAACATGCAGTCACTACCGGCCAGTTGAGAGGAATGAGGAGTCACCAGTTATCAACAGTCGGGCGTCTACGGCTAAGAGGTAGAGCTGGTCCTCCACTAGTGTTGCACGGTATACCGGTACTAAAATAGTACCGTGGTACTAGAGTATTCCAAACATACTATACTGCATTTGGAAAATACCGGTACTTTGAAATTGATTCAATTCATTAATTTAGTTAATTTATTTTACTCATTTATGCACACAAACGCCTTTCTTGTTCTTATTGGAGCACAGATTGCACAAGTGGTGTGTAAGACAACACCTGTATCAACATTAGCAGCTGGCGCACGTGAAAAAAGACAAGAGAAAGTCTGCCTCGCAAAGGGAGACAACACGAGACAACACAAACTTGGTGGAACATTTGAGTTACCAAACCGAGGTACTTACCGAACCATGATTTTTTTGGTACCGTTACACCTCTACTATTTATTGTTCTAAAGGTTTGTATCCAAAAGGACTTTTCCTTAGGAAAAGTACCTTAGAGTATCGAAAAGTATTGAAATTCATATTGGTATTGGTACCGAAACAAAGATTTTGGTATCGTGACAACACTATCCTCCACCAATCAGAAGATCAGTGATTCGATCCCCAGCTCCTCCAATCCACATTTCAAAGTATCCTTGGGCAAGATACTGAACCCCAAATTGCTCCCGCTGGCTGTGTGTGTTGGTGCAGTTGGCATCATGTATGGTAGCCTCTGCCACCAGTGTGTGAATGGGTGAATGTGACGTAGTGTGAAAGTGCTTTGAGTGGTCGGAAGACTAGAAAGGCACTATGTAAGTGCAGTCCAGTATGAAAGAGTCAACAGTTTCAACAATGTTTAATTACCACAACCTTAAGTGGTTTTCGAGCATAAATGTGCACACAAAATATGAGGCTGATTGGTCCAGTAGTTTGTGAGATTAACTGGGGACAGACAGACAGACGGACAGACACGCACACACATTCACACACAAGTACAAACATATGATCACTTCAATGGATTATGCCTGACAGATAAAAACCAGACATAATAATTCAGGAGGATTCAAGCTGCCTCTCAACTAACTAAAATCAAGGCCATCCATTTTTTAGATTAATAACAAATTAAAGCCCATCTCTTTTGTAACCGAAAAATAATAAGCTGTGATTGCAAAGAATGTTGTTAGATTAAAGTACCATATTCATCTCCCGAGACTATTTTAGTGGCTATAGACATTTTAACAAATGATACATCTATTGCTTCGTAAGGAGAACAGTTAAAGCAGTGTAATCAGCCATTGTCTGAATCAGGAATGTGTCAGACCCCGAACATGTTTGAGTCTGGTGAGATCCAGCTGGCAGAGTGCTTTGTGTGATTAAATTCCTGCTACAATGACATAACACAGAATTAAATCCTGAATTATTATGGATCGCTTGCAGCTACCACAAGTCAAGAAGAATGGTGTTAGCTCTGCATTAAATTATCACATTTAAAACGATGCAAAGTTTTTTAAGAAAAAAAAAGAAATTTCATTTGCAGAGAACAATAAGACATCAGCGAACATCTGCTTAACTGTGAATGACGTTGTCAGACTCTCCATTTTATGTGTTTTTTCCTGCACATAACTTTAGAGGTGTGGAATTACTTCACAGTACAATGCATAAATGTAAAAATTAAAATGTCTACAGTGGAGTTCCAGCAAGCTTGCTCATATTTAACTTGTTCGGCAGACAGACTACTTAGTGACCTCCGAAATCTCCACCTCCTGAGCACAATATAAAATGTCCTATGGTAGAAAAACATCAATAATGCACACTGGC